ATGTGTATAACCTGCGTTTGTGTCTCTTATAAAATGTATATTACCGTATTAGTTGTATTAACAGCTATCCTTGTATGAATATTGATAGTCTATCACTGACAGCTTTGTACTTCAAGGTGGATCTTGAAATGTTCTTTTTGACAATGAACACACCACCACTCCTCTTCAGTTTGTCACTCTTGGCATAGCAGATTATAATACTGTCTGATTCAGAATGGCCTATTGCAGTTTATCTCTGCTCGTTAATGCTCATTAATGGGATTATATATGTGTTCCATTTCCTTTTTGACAGCTTCCATTTTTTTCTGGATTCATACTTGGTATGTTCTATTTCCAATTACTAATGGATGTTTTCATCTGTTTATCTTAATTTTGAGTCTTGTCACATCAGCATATCAAAGTTTTTTTCTTGACTGAAAGCTTTACTCCATCAGTGTCAGTAAGGTAGGCTCTATTGGGGGAGCTCTTCTCTAGTTGCATTTTGAATACCCTCCAACCACTGGGAGCCATCTTCTGGCAATATAACAGTGTTCTTTTGATATTTATGGGGTTTTCAAGGGCCTGTTTCATAAATAGATGGCCAGTCCTTGTTTCTTGGTCTGCCTTGGTGTGGAAGGCCTGCTGACGTTCGTCCACCAGGATTACTGTACTGTGGTGGCCTGAGTGTTGCTGTTATACTGGGAGCTACGTCACCAGTATTTGAAGTACCAAAAGGGCCACCAGTGGTGGCTGGTGCTAGGGGTACAAAAGGTGTTGTCAAGATTCTGTCTTTCTTCACCTCATGGCTCTGCTGACTTCAGTCTCAGGCCAGCCTTCTTCACATAGCAGGAAAGATGGCTGCTAGTAATTCATGATTCAAAAAGAAGAGAGACAGTTCTTAAACCAGATTTGTGGAAAGATCCTGATTGGATCTGCCAGGGTCATGAGCCTGCTCCTTGCCAATTACCGTGTCCAGGGAGATGCATGAGATGTAATGAGAGTTGCAGTGGCTGAATAGTGGTGTTAGAGCATTATGAGTGGTAATTCTACCTGGACCAGATAAAGTGAGAAAAGAATATTCCTCGAGAAAGAGACTCATGCGGAGGATAAGTGCGCGACAGCAGTAGAAACCCAGGAGTGATAAAAGGCTAGGACTCTAGGTACAGTGATCATCTATGTATCTATCTATGCATTGAGTCTGTATTACCTATTCTGTGGCTATGTTGTGATAGGTTTAGGGTGTGAAATACCCCTGTTGGAGCTGGTAGGATACTTTGTTTTGAGGTTTGCCTGACTTAGCCAGGGAAAAAAGTACTTCTTGTCCCAAGGTAGGCTTGCTGGTCTGAACTATATCCCTTGGCCTGAGCTACCTGTGATCTCACTGGCATAAAGACCCACCTGAGTGGGCAGCAACTGTGACATAAACAAGAGAATGTTTAAGCCCCTACCCAATCTCCCAGGCTTCTAGAGGCCACTGAGCCCAAGTCAGGGCCCGGGTGAGGACTGCACAGACAAGAGGTCTCTTAACTAGCAGGAAGAAGATCGCTACAAGCTGATGCTCAATCGGAGTGACAGTGAAAACATTGCCAGTAACTACTTCCGACCTAAGAGGGCCAGCCAGATCCTCAGCACGGATCCCATAAAGAGTCTCGGTGAGTGCCCCTGCTTCCCTCCCTCCTGCCCAACCTCCTCGCCTTCCCCAGTGGCTGTCTGGTCCTCTACCAACCAGAGAGGCATGGTAGGTTGGATTGAGAGTTCAGACAGACCTGAATCCCTAACTGAGCCTCATTTCCTCAGTTATAAAATGAAGGTTTAATAACTGTATTTGATGAATAGATGAGGTGGACAAACTTCCCAGTCCAGGGCATGGCATATAGTAGATGCCCCATACCTAGTCACGTCTTTTTTCTACCTTTTCTTTCCTTGAGGTGAAGTGCCAGGTTGGATTTATCTGTCTCCCTTGGCACACAGTAGACTGTCAACACAGAGCTCGGGGCCCTGGCATAGGGCTGGCCAGCCTCTGTCAGTGGCTCACCTCCTTCATCTGACCCCATATTGGCACTTCTTCCATCTGCAGAGGATTAACCTGTGTCTATTAAACCACTGAACCAAGGAGGCAAGAAGGGTCACAGAAACAACGCATAATTTTAAAAGCAAGAATAGAAAATCACTTCATCCTTCTGCTTTTAAAGTGAAAATAAAAGACCATAGAGATTCCAAGAAATATAACATAAAAAAGGCAAAAATTAGTTCAGCAGTGAAACTGTGTAAGCAGATGGAATAGATGAATGAGGAGGGAAAAAATGGGACAGGAGAGCAGCTAGCATTGATTGAGTGCCTGGTACTGTGTCCATGCTTCAAATGAGGAAACTAAGGCTCAGAGAGATGAAGTGCTTCACCCAAGGTTGTGTTTCTAGGCGGTAGTGGAGCTGGGCCTTGAACCCAGACTGGTTTGGCTTCAGATCCCAGGCTGCCTCAGCTGAGGCTTGAGAAAGCCCAAGCCTCCCACCCCTCCCCTATCCTTGTATCAGGCAAGTGCTCAGTCAGAGACCTCAACCAGAGCAGCTTCTGAAAACTGGGGGTTCCAGCTATTGGACGGGGGTCACTGGCTGGGAGCAGGCGGGCCTGCCTCTCACTCCCGTTTCTTTCCATTCCTGGCATCCTATCTTACCAACACCTTCTGCCTTCTCTGCAGCTCATCACAACTCACCACCAGGCCTCAGCTCACCACTCAGCAACAATGCTGCCGTTACTCCCACCCAGGCCCCTGAAATGCCCCAGCCCCGGCCCTACCGCCTCGAATCCCTCGACGTCCACTTCACCAAGGCCAAGCGCAAGAAAAGCAAAAGCAACTTTGGCAGTGAGCCTCTGTGATCACAGCTTCCTGCTGCTGCTGGGCTTCCCTCAGACTGCCAGGCCCTCTCAGGGTGGCCCCAGCCACGCCTGCCCCACTGCAGAGACCCAAGACCCCAGGGAGGCCTCAGCCCTGGGAAAACACATCCCTTATTCTGTTCCCCAGAAATTCCAGCTAGGGCTCACCCTCTACCTAGCGGCTTCTCAAAAGCTGGATCTGTCTCAGCTCTCCATACCACATCAGTGTTTCTGCCTACTTGCCTGCCCAGAACCCACGTCTGTGCTCGCCATGTTGGTCACTGCCTCGATGGATTCCAGCCTTGCCTCAGGGCTTGTCAGCCCTTTCAGCAGCCCCTGCCAGTGTGCAGCAGCTCCCAAGTGCATGAGACCACTGAGAAGTGTATCTTTCTCCAGTTGGCCACACTTGCTGAGACACAGTGCCAAGGAGTGCCCTTCTAAAAGGAGATGGCACTGGTGCAGCTGCTCCCATGCTGCCCACTGCTGGCTGGGCTGTGGCCCTTTCTTGTGCAATGAGCCCAATAAACTGCCTTTTAAAGATAAATTTCCCTTTCGATTTCTGCCATGTTCACTTAGCCCTCCCTGCCATGACTGCTTGGCCCTCGTGGGGCTGCTGTCTCTGAGCAGTTCTCCCTCCCTGGAGCTGTGAGAACAAAAGTTCAGGGTTTCTGCAGCCCCATGCAGTCGTGAATGGAAGTGCATTTTTCTGAGCAGTGTCTGAATTTGATTAGATTCCTAGAGCTGTGTTCTAGGAAGGCAGAAACCCAGTTTTGGAAAACAGATGCTCTGTCTTGATGAGACCAGGAAAAAGCAAAAAATTAACCAAATACTTGAGGGGTTTTGCCTGAACTAGGTGCCATGCCATGGCCAGAAATTAATCCAGGCCACCCTGAATCCCTAGGACAGCTCCTTCCCCTCACCTCGTGCAATCTAGACCTCCTAAGGTGGGGGGAACTCCACAGACTGAGGGAAGAGGCTGAGCCTTTGGTGCTATTCTGAGCATCCTGAACCTCACTGAGCCTGATCAGTGAAATGGAGACAACACTGCTTTTGGGTTATTGTGAGGCAAATAGGATAGTATATAAAGCTTCTGCTCCCTTTTATGTTACTGCAGCCTCCAATCTGAGGAAAGGCGCTCACAAGACTGGAGAAGCTGGGATGGAGGCCCTGCAGTGGTCATTGCTGGTGGATGCCCGGGGCAGGGGGCTGAGGCTGCCTGTGTTCAGGTGGAGACCTGAGCGTGCCAGGCCCCTAAGCCAACAAGCTTGAAGGGTTTTGATTTTTGCCTTCTATTCTTGGCTTAATGGCCAAGTGTAAAAGGTCAGAAGAGCTACCTTTTCTTACCAGTTTCCTTCACCGTTCACCCCAAGATCAAGGGTCATTTGGAAGCTTGGAGATGCTTGGAGTGGTAGCTCTTAGGGAAGGTAGGTGGTGGGGCCAAGCCAGTCCGAGGTAACTTTTAACAAGCTCATGGGGCGAGAGGCAGCACCCCCGAGGGATGTTCACTCAGCCTGGCCCTGTGGAGCTAAGTACTTCAAAACCTGCTTCAGGCTTCCCAAAAGTCCAGAAAGAGACGGCGGCAAAGGCACGGAGATAGCGGAGCTGGACCAGCTCTCTATTATCCCTGTTTCCAGCTGAGGTTAAGTGGCCTGGAGGGGAGTGATAATAGTGTAAGCTGAATGCAGTTGATTTTAACACTGGAGCTTTTTATTGCTGGGTCAGTCTACCAGAGATTCAAAATGTCTTGTCCCGCACAGGAGAGGAAGACCCTCGATAGGTGGATTGACTCAGTGACTGGGGTAATGTGAGTAGGTGCGTCAGAGACAACAAGGTTAGCTCAGGATAGAGCCAGGATGGCACATAACAACACCTTCCTGGAAACTCAGGATCCCAGTCCCAAGTCAGTCCTGGCCTCCCACCGAAGAGGTGGCCTGGGGTGCAGCCAGTGCTATATCGAGTTCCTCGAAAACGCGATGGACAAGCCCACGGACGATACGGACAACGCAAAGATGAGCGGCAACGCGACAAGCTCCCGAGCCAAAGCCGTTCAGAGCTAGCGTCCCGAGCGGCTAGGAGGAGCCAGAACGCGCCCAGCCTTGTTGGTTGGTCACGGCTGCAGAGCTGTCTCTCTAGGATTGTTTCGTTTCCTCTGAGGAGGTGGAGCCAAGATCCCTTTCCACCAATAGGATTTAGAGAATCCGCCTTCCACCAGGAGCGCCCGGCAGCGTCTCCGGATGCCTGGGGCCGGCCTCTTGCGTCCACTTCCGGGTGGGGCGCCACAACCACGAGCTGCGATTGGACAACCACGGAGCACTTCCGGTGTCCAGGTGCCGGGCACTTAGGCAGAAGAGGAACATGGAGGCAGGCCCCGTGGCCCGTGCTTGGTGCTTCTTGTGCCTATTGCTACCCTTGTTTGGCCTAGTCTACGCCAGCGGTCCCCGCACCTTAGTGCTGCTGGACAATCTCAACCTGCGGGAGACGCACTCGCTTTTCTTCCGGAGTCTGAAGAGTGAGAGCGGGACCCGAGGGGCGGCAGGGGAGGGTCTGGAAGGGTCCTGTGCTCAGGGGCATCAGACGCCCTCTTTCCCGTTAGATTTCCATAAGTAAGATGCCCAGTTTGCTACCCTCTGCAGCCGAAGTTCCTTTTACTTTCCTAACTGCTTCAGCTCCTCTTTTTTTCTGCAGACCGGGGATTTGAACTCACATTCAAGACAGCTGATGACCCCAGCCTGTCCCTCATTAAGTATGGAGAATTCCTTTATGACAACCTCATCATTTTCTCCCCGTCAGTGGAAGGTAAGAGCTGCACATTTTGGGATTCGAGGCTCCAGATTGATTAATCAACTATTCTTGCACGTGATCTGAGCCCCGATAGGCCGCGCTAGCCTTCAGAAGGCTGACTGTTGGCATTGAAAAGGAAAGTGTCTATTTCCGATTTAGTCTGGGAGGCTCATCCGAGAATCATGGGAGTCAAGTGTTGGTACAAATTATGGAACCCCGAGCCGCTACCGTGTAAATGACATGGGGTCTTTAAAAAAAAATATTAATTTTAACGAACATTTACAGAGATTTTGGATTTCCATTCATTGTCGTACTTTTTTCCCTGCCCCTCCCCCCCAGTTCGCTCTTCTCTGTGAAAAGTAAAAGAAAAATTCCTTTATTGGTATACAATCCCCCCTCCCCGAGTACACTTCACTATGCAACCTTCATTCTGGACTCTTGTGATAACCATAATACCCTATCATATATTACTTTTAAACTGTTCTCTCCTTCATCTATTTCAATGCAATATACATAATTTATCCAGTTTTTCTCAGTCTTACCCCAACCCTCATATCAGTCCCATTGTACAACAGTGGCACTATGCAGTATTTGTCTTTTTGTGACTGAGATATTTCACTCAGCATAATGTCCTCCAGGGTCACCCATTTTGAATGGTATTGCATGAGTTCCTTGTTTTTCAGTGCAGTGTAGTATTACATTGTGTGAATATACCACAGCTTCTCTATGCATTCGTTTGTTGATGGGCACTTAGGTTTTTTCCAACTCCTTGCTATTGTGAACAAAGCCGCAATAAACATGGGTGTGCATATATCTGCTTGGATGGCAGTTATGGTCTCTTGGTGTATATTCCCAGTATTGGAATTGCTGGGTCAAATGGTATCTCAATTTGCAACTTTTTGAGAAAG